GTATCTTCTAAATGCCAGTTGTTTGAATGAGCTTTTTATGGAAGTGCACTTGAATTTGTAAAGAGTATCTTTCCAAATCATTTTGAAGTGTACTGTTCTTCATAATGTTATACCCAAAAGTAATAGTATACATGTTACAATATTTATATTGTAATTGACCAAACAATGGCATATTCCCAATGCAAGCTCCAGATATTATGGTGAATTTATATACTATTAAAACTCTCCTGTCTGTTTGTAACCTTCAGTTGGGCAAACAGTGCATCATAGAGTAACAATTTTTGAAGCAAGGTACCTCAAATGGACTAACTTACAGAATGCATCCAAAATCTGGGACCCATTACTTCCGTGGGACTGAAATTTGGCAAAGTTGTGTCCGCTTCAGCACTGCCGTGGTGCCACGGTCATGTGATCGTCATTTCCAGCGCTCCCCGCTAACTTCCCGCAAGCAAAGTCAATGGGAATCCAGCAGGAAGTCAGAAGTCACTCTCACTCCTTTTTTGCCCGCGGTCATTCTGTTTCTCTGTTTAGGTAAGGAAATATCTCTGAAATGCGGACCCAGTGGATTACAGGTTGTCTAGTTTTCTACAAAAATAGGTTGAAGTCATTTAACAAACTCTCAAAGATTATTTGGATGGTCCCTTTTATATCATTTGAATTAAAATCTACAAATAATACAAAGTAGAAGGAAAATATAGAAAAATCTCATTCACAATATAAATGTTATATATTAGGGTGGATTCTGCCCACTTGTGATACTTTGTCTTTCTGAACACTAAGTTGGCTATTTAACTGCAAGAATGGAATGTAGGCAGAAATCACGACCTTCTGTTCCAGAGACCAGGGCATATACTTCTTTAGCAAAAGGAAATAGATAGAAATAAACGTAATTGTGAATTACTAAATGGCTGGAGCACATTCCTTAGCTACCCCTTTCTTTTATACATCTTTTGCCAAGTGCAGTATTATACCCAGCCACTGTAAGCTGAGGTTAAAAAGAGACTGACTACATGTTTAAACTTTTTGGGAATTCTGAATAAAGCTAGTTGGTTTTAATTACAGCAGTGAAGAACACAACTCTGCCATTCCAGAATGATTTGGAAATTGGGAATTCTGACATCCAGTTCCATTTTGATGTAGCTCCTGTTAGAATCTGGTGTAAAACACAAGTGATTTACTTCCTCAGATTAATGACAATAATCAGCAGGAAGATCAGCAACTCAGTCTTTCGGGCAAGAGAATCTGAAGTGGTGGATTGCTTTTTGACCCCCATCATGTATCTTCTTTGAAGTTCCCTATTATATGGATGCTATTGCATGTATACCATTACGTTCATGCCTACGGATTTAAAAAGGGAAGATGAAGGTTAAAGACTGCTGTTTTACAATTTGTAGCTGTTCTGTTTTCTCCTGGAGGAAAAAATACTGCTCTAAAATCCAAACCCAAAACAGATGATTGAGGATTGAGTAATCCCCTCTGATTTGATCATACGTTACCTTTGCCAGTAGTGCTTTTGATTTGCTAGTCCTTAATACGCATATGTAATTAAACTGGTTTGGAGCATGTTGAGAATTTTCTTCTCATTCATCTTATGGACTTTGGCATTCAGGAGATACAGTTCCTTTTTCTAAATGTAATAATAAGAAAGGACTGTTATATGTGAAATGATTTATAAAATACTAAATGGTATTATATACTGGATGTTTATGAGCAGTATGGTATCTGGAAAAGGCCCATTCTCAATTTGGGCTTTCCCCCTTTATCAAAAGTTTACTTTTTTTTTCATTTCTATCTGTATCTCATCCATGTGCCAACTTTTGTCTAGTTTGTTTTCAAATGTCCAGTTTTGGAATTAACTTCACAAGGAACTGGTTTAGCTTTCCCCTTTAAATTACTGAGCATCAATGATTTATTATTTCATACCCGAAAACGCAGTATAGCTATGATGACAACACAGTCCTTCAAAAAATTGGAGTACTTGCTAGCCCAAAATATTTTTCTATCTATTCATAATAGTTTTGCAAGTATAAACAACATATTTGGTAAAAATATATGTTTTATTTCTGAACCCTAATAAATAGCCTCTCTTTAGAATCCAGTTACTCAGTGACGAGCCACATGCAGAACCAGAATCTTTAGTAGTTCTGTCCACAAGTATTTATTGCAAACCATGACTGTGGTCACTTTGAGAGTCCTAAGAGATGCTGTCGGATGAGTCGCTTTTTCTAATGTTCCTGATCATAAGAGTCCATTTGCCTCTTGCCCCTCTCCTACTGATTACACCTGTACACATGTTTACTCCAAAACCATATCAAATTCACAGACATTATTGTAGGCTAACTGGTTTCTACTGCTCAGAAATCCCCTCTTTTTTGGCAGTGTTCCTGGCATTCATATGACTCCTGCACACTGCAACTCAATGAAATCCTCTGAAACAGCTGCCAACTCACGAAATTTTCCATGAATTAGATCCTGACACTTCAATGAGAGGAAAGACAATGTTTGAAACAAGGCCAGCCCTGGCTTACTGCCTAGTATGTGTCACATAATTCTACCAGCTGCCCTTCCACCCAACACTTCATACTTTACAGACCACCAAGCAGATCCTTGAAGACTTAAATGCTGTTTAGGCTTGGAGCTGCCAGTCTGTTTTCTCAGCCTCTGGCACCCACTGGCTCCAGACTGGGCTCAGAAAGTTTTTGTAGGCGTTTGTCTTGATTTGTTTTTATTTTTATGAATGACTGCAGAAGAGGAGTCTGACTGAACTGAGGCACAATACTGCAGCCATTCATGTGCAAAAAGCAAAAGGAAACATTGTACTTTGATTGGATGCAGACCAAAGTTTAGAGGAATCTTACTCATGCAGGGCTTTTCCTATCTAAAACACCGATAACAGCTTTGCCAACTAGATTACTGCTTGTGATTTAGAAAGCATAGAATTGTGATTGGAGATAGTTTGGTTATTCTTCTATACATTCGTTCTGCCTTCTTTTCTCCCCCCCCCCCCATTTACATTTTTATTCCTTCCCTTGCTCATTTCGAGGAAAGTTTACTTGTTTTTACAATTTCATTTTATATTTTCAGCAAGTTGATCCAGTTTTTGTGTATGTGTCGGGGGGGTGGAATAAGATACTAATTTTAGATTACATTATTCTGTCTAGTTTTACAAAGAAAAACAGTATGTGCCAGATAAATCTATTCTAGATTTAAAATTAGGAAGAACTGCTTAGCTGCTGCTGTTGATACACAACAATGGAATTTCTAGCCTTTGATAACATTGTAAGATTGGGAAAAGTGGGATTATATGGACTTTTGTTCCATAATAATTGTTAAAACAAATTAGCCATGAATGAATGAATGCTCTATCCCTTACCCTCAGCAGTTCTCAAGTATCTCCTTTCATGATGGCAGTGAATGCTTATTCCTTGTGTTTATTCCCACACCCTAATTCATTGTTTCCCAAACTTTCCACTAAAAACTTAGACATTCATATAGAAGAAATCAACACACACTTTTATGAGACATGGCAGTATTCAGAGAGATTGTATTGGAAACATTCACTATTTTGATATTCCCCCACATAACTGCATACCTAAAAATACTATTTTTCAGCCCCGAATCCACTTGTACTGTAGTGAACAGTATCAGTTACATCCATACAGAGATCTGTTTCAGCACCTTATGAACTTGACATACACACAACATCTTGCTTGATGCTCAAGCCTGAACCTTAGTCAGTAGTGAGTTAGTCAGAGCCAAACAAAACAAAACAAAATAGAACAACACTTCTCAACCTGGTGCCTTTTATATTATGACTGCAGTCACAGAATTCCCAGCCAGCTGGAAACTACTAAGCTGGGGAAGAGTAGACTAGTTGCTGGGTGAAAACCTTAGCTTCAACAGGAAATAATGTTTAGTCATTCATATCAAAAAGGATGCAATATCTAGCCCATTCCAAAATTAAAGTGCACATCACTGCTGTAGAAGATGCTTCAACCATAGATTTGGTAACCCTCTTACAGAATTGCTGCCCATGAAGCTGAAAGTTGCTGATTCCAGCCCAGATGCTTCTGACATGGGCTTCTGTCCACCCTGAAGTTCCAAGTAGAGTCACACAAATAACTTGAATTTACTTAGACTTGGAATGAAAAGCCACACAAAGATCTACAACTATTCCTGATACTTGATCAAAATCGAAAGGAACAAAATTTGAGATTTTGAATCTGAAATTAAATTGTCTCACATTGCTGGGATATTACCTCTTCAAACTACTGTATCTTTCAGAATTCTAGAAAGAACAATAGAAACAGTTCGGTCTGCTGTTAAGTATGGCTCAGCTGCAGTTTACATATATAGATGGAGTGATGCATTTGCAGATAAATTAGACATATGAATTCGAATATGCAAATTACCTGACATTCCATTTATTGTGTACTGTAAATGTGAACCTTAGTACTGTAAATGCATTAATCAGTTTATCAATATGTAGTTGTAAGCAAGGATAAATATGCCATCTTGCATATTATGCTATAGTTGCATCTCTCTCTCAGATCCTTGAAGA